ACCATCATCATCATCACCACCACCATCATCATAATTACCACCATCACCATCATCATAATTACCACCATCACCGTCATCAGCACTATCATCATCATCAGCAGCACTCACTATCATCATCATCATCACCGCTATCATCATCATCATCATAAGTTATTTTTATCACCAACGTAATACTTTATTGCACGATTTATTGCCCTGATTGGAGTTTAAGGGTTTCGTTCGTTCATTTATTCCTTCATTCATTCTCATCATCATTCATACATTCATTCACTCATACACTTCTTCTTTCATTCATTCTCATCATCATTCATACAGTTCTTCTCTCATTCATTCATTCATTCATTCATTCATTCATTCATTCATTCATTCATTCATTCATTCATTCATTCATTCATTCATTCATTCATTCATTTTCTTTTTTTGTCTTATCATTAATATTAGCCAATAACAATAATAATAATTATAATTATAATAAAAAAAAACAATAATAATAACTTGGTCAAAATGTGCCTGACCGCTGGTACGACCACCAGCCTGAATAGGTTGTCGAGTTGGACAAAACAACAGTTACGTACAACTGGGCTATAAGCTACACGGGTAGTATTGGGGCTAACCGGCCAGATATCATACTCCACAATCAAAACAACAAAAAATGCCCGCTCGTCGCTGTTGCAGTTCCCGATGACACGAATGTTCCTACAAGGGGAGTTGAAAAACTAAGCAAATTTTAAGACAGATCGGGATTTCACGTATGCGGGAGACAAAAAACGCGCGCGATCCCAATAGTAGTTGGTGCATTGGGAGCTGTACGTCAGGAGCTGCAGAGGTATCTCAATGAACTGCCTGGAAAGGAAAGTGTTGCACAAATGCAGAAGATGGCCTTACTCGGTACTGCTCGCATACTTCGAAAGTTTCTAACAGCAGGAAGTTTTAATCCTAGACCTCAGGAATCCGCTGGACTCCCGGTAGATGCCAGCAAAAGTGGCTGAGGAAAATAACAATATAATAATAATAACAGTAATAATAATAATAATAATAAAAATAATAATAATTCAACTATTTGTTTGTTTGCGCCTTCGTTTCTTCATCCGCTAATTCTTTCAACTGTGTTTTGTTGTTGATTCTTGTCAATTCGTCAATTCAACATTTTAATTAATTAATTATCATACATTTATTCAATTCTTTCATTCTTTCTTCTTTCTTTCTCCCTCTACTTCTTATAT